ACACGATAAAAATAGTCTTTAACTTAATACTTATAAATATTCCGTCTCTATACGCGGCAAAACACTAATAATAAACAAATCACACGAATAATATTTAGGAGCAAGAATGAGTGTTACCTCACACCTGAACTATAAACTTAATTAGACAAGAGATATTTCAAATTCACGAGGGACCGAAATAAAAAAAAATACACTGTTTCGTAAAGAAAGTATATTTCAGACTACCCTAAGAATTCCAAAAAGCCAGGTATCACCAACCAACCCTCTAGTCTTCAGTAATATAAAGAGAACCATAAAACCGTTCTTTTGTTCCTTATCGCCTTGTGCGTCTTTGGGACGAAGGCATTTCCTGTGTTAGCATTTTCTATTTGGAGGGTTTCTCACACAAAGTTTAAAATAATTTCTTGGCCTACCAGGGAAAGAGCGTTAGAAATATCTAACAGGTTTCGGAATATCAATGGATTTCCTGGTAAGTAAATTTCTGCTTGAAGTTTGAGCTCTGATTAATAATAAATGAATTCCAAATTCGATTGTAAAGGGTACAGTAGCACCAGATAGAACAGAAATGAAAAATTAATTAATTATGTAAATGTATGAACACTGAAAAATAAAACAAGGTTGCTGGACTCGGCTGGGATTTGAGATCACAACTTGCAATACCAATTACTTAAGCCAAAAAAGTATACTGGCAATATGCTTCAGTTCTATATTTAGAGTTAGCTACATAAAGTCTGTCGATTTTAATCTGATACTCCAAGTAGTGGGCTCACCATACAGGTGTTTTTCCTCCCCTTCACCGCATATGCAAAGTAGTTTTTCCTCCCCTTCACCGCATATGCAAAGTATCACATTAAAATCGACAGACTTTACCCACCTAAGGGCCAAATTATGGATCTGCTGGTAAAGTTGCTGGTTGCTACCTAGCACCTAAATGTTAAGCCCACGGGTAACTTTGAAGGAAATTATTATTAAATTTCTCACCTGATGTTACTTAATCAAGCACTTTACAATTTGGCACATCTCTGGCAAGCTTAAACAAAAGCTTATAACCAAATTTTTACGTTTAGCAGCAGGATAACTTTGGCAGGAACCTTACCAGCAGATCCATAATTTGGACCTTAATGGCCTAATTGGTGAAACATGTGCCTAGCACTCGGCCTAGCAAACAAATGTGAGTTTAAATCTTACCAGACTTTGGGAACTTTTTTCTAATTTTCTGTGTAGGTTTAATAATATATACTTCTAACTATTGAGTCGTTCCTAAACAACTTATAGGTATTGTAGCTGTTTCATTTTGTTATAGGAGTTATCGGTTGCATTGATGGCTCACACGTGAAAATATTGGCACCCAAAGAAAATCCTGTTTCTTATATAAATCGAAAAAAATTCCATTCTATCTTACTTCAGGCAGTCTGTGATGACAAAAAACAGTTTATAGATGTATTTACTGGAACACCCGGCTCTTGTCATGATGCAAGATTATTTCAGATGTCCGATCTATCAGAGCATATTCGAACAGGAATTGTGCAATTTCCCAACGACACACATATTATAGGTGACCTAGCATATACCTTGACAAAAACACTGATTGTTGGATTTAAAGACCATGGTAATTTAAATGATCGTCAAAAAAAATTTAACAGAAAATTGTCACAGATAAGGGTTGCAATTGAGCAAGCTTTTGCTCTTTTAAAAGGCAGGTTTCGGCGCCTTAAATATTTAGAAACCATAAGAATGGACCTAATATGCTTATTAATTATTATGGCTTGTGTATTACACAATGTGTGCATTTTAAATAATGACAATGCAGAAGACATATTGGATCTGGCACAAGAAATAAAAGAAGAGAGAATGTTGCAAGAAATACAGAATGTCAATGTACAAAATGCTGATGCAATAAGGAGAGAAGCTCTTCAAAAAAGAATTAATATTATGAACAATTTAATATAAAAATTTAAAGCATATTTTTAGTTCATTTTTATACACCACTAATCTTCCTGTAGATTATAAATAGTTAATTTAATTGCTTAATAAATAAAATAGTAATGTAGCTTCTACTTCTATTCATTTATTTACAGAAGAAAACAGAACATTATAATAATAACTACAGTTTACAATAATAATTGTACTTAGGGCCAAATTCTGTACCAGCTGGTAACGTCTCTGGGCCTCTGGCAAATTTAGCCTGCTGGCAAACTAAAAATTTAATGCGTTTTTAGCCTCACCAGCAAGATATTATCTAAAGTTGCCAATAACGTTACCAGTCGGTCTATAATTTGACCCTTATTCAACTAAGGGTCGGTTTATTCACCTTCTGATAAACTGTCAGCAAATATGAAATCTGCCATATACAGTGTGACCCATTTTTGAGGGGGCCACCCTCTGAAATCTTTATTTATTGCGCGATTTCAATAATTTTTTTTTTAAATTGTAGAGCTTGGCAAACTTCATTTTTGAAGAAGAGAGCTCCACATTCCTACAAAGACTATGGCCTCCACCTCAGATTTTATGCGTGAAATTTTGAGAATTCATATTAGCGATTTTTTTAGAAAAAATCTGTGCACGCCACTGTTTTCGCCATCCCCAAAAATCCCCTAATCCATATTTTCAAGCGAAGAATTAAAAATTTTAATGCACTTTTCTCGACTTTTTCTAATAAATTCTTGATTTTCGACCAATATTTTTTAAAAAAAATGGTAAAATATTATTTTTTTTTGCTTAAAAATATGGATTAAGGGGTTTTTGGGGATGGCGAAAACAGTGGAGTGCATAGATTTTTTCTAAAAAACTCGCTAATATGAATTCTCAAAATTTCACGCATAAAAACTGAGGTAGAGGCAATAGTCTTTGTAAGAATGTGGAGCTTTCTTCTTGAAAAATGAAGTTTACCAAGCTCTACAATTTAAAAAAAAAATACTGAAATCACGCAATAAATAAGGATTTCACAGGGTGGCCCCCTCAAAAATGGGTCACTCTGGATGGTCGCAGAAATGCTGGACAGGTCGAAACTTGATTTTTTCGAATTTTATCAGAAATCCGAAAATGTGAAAAAAATTGTGTCTATTTAAAAAAATTAAGTTACTACCTTCCAGCTTTTCTGGGACCACCCTATATAATAATTTTATTTGCCGAAAAATGCTTGACAAAAAATAAAATTGAGGGGTTTGAGGATTAAAAAAAAAATTGCTTAGAAGAATAATTATTGAATTTATTCCCTACCAACTTTATGGCCGCACTGTATTTTGAGCAGACTACTTATTTTTCAACGTACTAATCATATCCTCAAATAAATCGAGAAATCTGTCTTGACGTTGCAATTTTTCTCGGTGTCGCTTGTCTGCAGCATTTTCATATCTGCGTACTCGTTTTGTGCCACTTGTCTTGGGGGTTTCCTCAACATTTGGGGTTCCATTTTCTTCGTCATGATCTAAAAACCCAGAATAAAATTATAATAATTTGATAAAAAAAATAATTTGAGATGAAGTCTACCTGCTAATGATGCAGAGCTTGAAGCCCCACAGCTATTATTATTAATTTGCAGACCTTTCGAGCTGCTGCATGTCACGGGTGGTATTATTTCGGGTTTCTTACACAATAATTCATCCATTTCATCAAAATAAATCCAAATCCTGGGCTCGTTTCCCGACTTGTCGTTGTGCTGCTTGACACTTTTATACAAGTCTTTAAGACCTTTCCATTTAGTATCACATTGTTGTGCACTCATAGTCACTTTCGTCTGATTAGAAATCTCATTAGCAATTTTTTGCCAAACCTGTTTTTTAATTTTACTTTGAAAATCATCATCATATTTTTTTACTAATGCTATTAAAGCTTTTGTTGCACCAAGTGTCCATATCTTCAGTTGTTCTACTCGTTCTGCTTGTGGAGTGTTAACAACTTCTGGAGTGTTAACAACTTGTACTGTGTTAACAACTTGTGCAGTGTTAACAACTCGGTTAACAGCAGAGGTTACGAGATTTTTTTCATAGAGTGTAAAATATTTATTTGTAAGCTGTTCATAAAAATCAGGGTCTAAAATTAATAATAATAATAATACTTTATACATTAAGATCTGATCTACTATTATTAACAATAGTATATTATACCTAGGGACTAAAGTGGTACCTACTTTTAATCCTGAGACAAAAAGTTTATAGCCCGACTGAAGGGATGGCTATAATTTCTCAACAGATTGAAAAACACTTTAGTCCCGAGGTGTATACACTATTTTATGTACTTTAGAGGGATTACAAGTAGACTTTCAATCCCTAGGGTTTACATAATTCCCAGGAAATAAAGTGAAATTTGAGTTGATTAAAAGACCCACTTTAACTCCCTCAAAACAGGGATTATAAGGGTACTTTTATTCCTTTAAAACTGGGATTGAAAGGGTACTTTAATCTTTTAATCCCTAAGGGCCAAATTATGGGCCGACTGGTAAGGTCTCTGGCAAATTTCACCTGCTGGTTGATGTGATAAAACTTATGAGCTTGGGTAGCTACCAGCAATCAGCACCGTTCCTAGTTGGTCCATAATAGGGCCCCGAGTAGGGCCTTAAAGTGCATAAAAATTATAAAAATAGTTATTCAAAATCGTACTTACCTGAGTTTGCCTTGGTTATTTCATACTGAGTTAAAAAAAACTCTGAATGTGCGTTCGGGCGCAGCGTGAAAGAGCTCTACAAGTTGCCTTTTGTCATTATCCATTTTAATTAATCCTATTATACAACAATAATTATTAATTACAACATACATCGATTGTACTTTTCTACCTTTCTATTTTTTTCAGCAAAAAAAAATAAACAAAACAGAACGCCCATAAAATGTGGTTATGTTTACTGATCACCTCTAAATGCTCGACCAAAAACCTCGGACGAAAGCGAGGACGCTCCAAAACATCCGGACGACTAAAACGAACGCGAAAATATTTCCCTCCGACTAATCCCAAACAATAAACGAACGGTTAAAAAGGAATCCGAGACGTCCGACGACTAAAGGTGGGTTCGGGATGACTGTTCTATAAACTCCAAGTGCACTAAACACTCCCGATGCGTTCGGGTATGGTCATTTTATGCTAAAAGAGTAACTCCATTTGCGTTCGGCTAGGACGCGTGGGAGTCAAAAGAGCTGACTCCGAAAGCACCACCTTTTCAATAGCAAGCGCCAGAGCGGGCATGCGCAGTGTTTTTGTTTTCGTGATATCTAACCCCAAACCGGCCAAAGGAAACCCCATTTTTTTATATACGTTTTTCGACTACACTTGTCTAGTTTGGATGTTTTGAAATTTCGAACTATTTGAACCAGAAGCGCTTATTTTTGTAATTAGCCAGGCTATTGGAAAGTTTTTTAAACGCATCGGAAGTAGCAAGAATGGCCATGGACATATCTGAACAAACCTATGTGGTTGTAGTTGACGAAGAAGGAAGACCAATAATTACAGCAGAAAACAATATTTTACTCTGTGATAAGGCTAGTAAGTACTATCAAGTATTATCTATTCAACCATAATTAGGTAAATTTAAATATTAAGTTTTAATAATATTTGGCTTCATTGACAACTAGGTCACTTATAGAATTTCTATACCTAATTTCAAATATGTAGGTACATTCAATTCCATTTATGTTTTTGTTATTCAATGCATTTTGAATGTAATTGAATGTTATTGGAAAGGAAAGTGTACCTGGAGGGCCTACCCCTCAAGCTTCATCTTCATAAAAACGTTACGATTAAAGTTTGTACCTACCTACCTAAGTAAAGTTGAAAGAATAAAAGCACTGAGCACTGGTGCTGTTGCTACTATTTTACTACTTTTACTTCCTTTAAATTAATAAGGTAATTTCTCTGTTTTGTTATCTATGCTTTTACAATATTTGAGACAATAATATTCAAAGCTTTTGATTTCAATAATAATCCTCCTTATTTTTAGCCCAGGGACTTTCATCAATACCATTTACCGTAAACATAGCAAATTAATTTGGAATTGCCTATCCACTGCAAAAGCCATGTGAACAGCAAGAAAACGAACCTTCAACTTCAAGTGCTGCTGAAACCCCAATCACTGAAACCAATGAAGAAAATTCCAAGATTTGGAACACAGAAAATACATTATATCTGATCGACACGGTTCAAAAATTTGACAAGCAATTTTCATCTGGAGTCAAAAAAAATGTTTGGCTCAAAGTAGCAGAATGCTGTAAGCATCTGCACAAAACTTTAAATGCAAAACATTGTGAGACAAAGTGGAAATCCCTAATCCGCACTTATAAAAATATTTTATTGAGCAATAATACCTCTGGACAAAAAAAGAGGTATTGGGAGTTCTTTGATGTAATGCATGCTATAATGTTCAAGAAACCTGAAATTACACCTGTTGCTACCTGTAGTAGCTTACGTGGACTACGTGTTCCCGATCCTGAAGGTAAGAATATTTACGAAAAGACCTATTCCTCGTGATTCTTCAACTCTTTTAACCATTACATGCACATAATGTTTATTTTTGCTTTTTAGAGAAAAGCAAACAAAATGAAAGTAAAAACCAAATTAATGTAGAGGAAAACAACGAAATTGACAACAGCAAAAGTGAAATTGATGAGGAAAGTGGAAAAGAGAATTTTGAAAGCGAATTTTCAAAGAAACGAAAGCGAAAAAATTCAGAAGTTGAAAAAAGACACAGAGACAAGATGCAGAGATTGGATAGATTTAATGAATTATTTGAAAAAATGATTGATAAGCTCCCTGAAAAATAATATTCAAATGCGAACTTCCATTGCATTTTTTTTTCACCAGTCAAAGTAGTTGCACCACTTTGGGAATCTTTCATCCTTTCAATTTGACAATGGGAGTCTAATCTGTAGTTTGAGTATATCCTATCCAAAATCCGAAGTCCAAAGGTATAGGTAAATTTATCACCTTTCCCTATCAAATAGCACTGGAAGGTGATACATTTTAGCTTTACCTTTGGGCATCAGATTTTGAATAGATATGTTGGATTTTGTAGCAAATGTATGTGAATATAGTCTTAAGGAGAGTTTATTTTGAGTTAGTTTGTTATAAACTTGTTTTTATGAAATGTAGGTAGAGGGTGGGATGTAATAGAGGCTTTTTTTGAGTTTAAACATTGTTAAGTTTATTTATTAATATTATTGGCTAACTTGAACATTATTGCTGCAAAACCCCAGGTTTATTTCAAATAAATTAAATAAATAACAATTATTTTTTTATTCAATAAAATATACAAGACTGGTTAGAAGAGTATAGATATACAGAGTGGCAAAAAAGTAATGCATACAACCTGTAGCTTTTAAGGACCTCTTTTCATATAAAGATAATAAAAAAGTTACAGGTATTATGCGTTACTTTTTTGCCAGTCTGTATAGCAAAATGTTTGTGAAAGTAGTGTCCATAAGCTAGAAAAATGAAAAAAAAAAATGAAACTACATCTAGGTTTAAATATTTAGAAGGATAAAGGAAATGTTATGTTTTGGAAATTATATTTACAGTTTATCTTCGTATAATTATTGGTAAACTATTTACAATATTATTGCGCTTGATTATGGCCTGATTGGGGATATTCTCTATATCAATTTCAATTGCATTCTCTGGATTATTGAGAACCTCTTCTCTCCTAACTTCATCCAAATCAATAATATCCTCGAATGAATCGCCATTTAAAATACAAATATTGTGCAGTATGCAGCAACTCATTATATTTAAACATGATAAGTCCATCCGGACAGTTTCCAGAAATTTTAATTTTCGAAAACGTCCTTTCAGTAACGCGAGTGCATTTTCTATTTTAACCCTTATCTTACTTAAAACTACATTGAAGTTTTTTTGTCTTAAGGTTAAATGCCCATTATCCTTAAATCCAACAAGTAAGTTAAAGTCTAATTTATAGGCTAGGTCTCCTACTAAATGGGTATCGTTAAAAAATTGTAACTCCTGCCTTTGTATAGCCGAATAAAGGTCTGATTTCCTGAACAAAGTGTAATCATGGAGCGAGCCAGGTTCCCCTATATATACATCTTCAAACAATAGTTTGTGGTCACAGATTCCTTGTAATAACAAGGAATGGAAACCTTTTCGATTTACATAAGAATTAGAATTTTCTTTTGGAGCTGTAATCCTAATGTGGGATCCATCAATACAGCCAATTATCCCTAGAATAAAAATTCATATTATATATTAAATTTTTGAATAATACTAACCAAGTTGGAAATTCCTTTAATTTTGTTGGGGAAGCAATAAAAATTATTCATTCAAAATTCCATTCATATACTTAAGTTAAAATAGTTATATCTGACTTTTATTGCACTTACCATTAAAACCATTTTGACTCAGGCCATTAGAAATCTCTGCCTGTCTTTGCCTATTTGGCCAACTGATAATTTTGAACTGGTCATTCACTCTAAGCAATAATTTACCAGTACGGGTAACAATTTCCCAGCAAGTTGATTTTGTCACTCCAAAACGGTTTGCGACAGACCTAAAAGTAATAGGGATAGGTGAAGAAATTAACTTAATGGTAGTTTTTTGTGCTATCCCTGCACTGCGACTCATCTTTGTATTGCTGGACACAATAATATACCAACGAGTCACAGTGGAGGGGTATATTCCGAGATTTATTTCCTACCCCACCTAAAGCTCTCAATATTTCCCAAATACCATATGGTAATCATAACATCCTTTTCTAGAGGGGTTTTACATCTGCGATATGTTCTTACACCCTCATTTGCATTGTGGATTTTTCTTAAAAGATCTTCAAACGTATCAGGACACATTCTAAAATGTATTTTGAACTGCTGATCGGACATGCGAGGAACAGTTATTTCGCAAAAATTTTCAATCTTAATAACTTCATTATCTTCTTCCTCAGATGAATCTCCGTATAAATACACTTCCCTAACAAAATTGAATATGGGCAACAAACAAGCAAAGTTCATTAATTGCAGTTGAATTACACACAAACAGTATTCACGAATCACAAAACAAATAGGAAACTTAGAAAAGTAATGAACATATTGTGGTTGCTGAATGTTAGGTTAGGTTAGGTTAAGAAGCTCGAAGTGCGCCCTGACCGTTCGGAGTCATCATTCTACTCTAAAAGCACTTTGGTCACGTGACAAAAACGCCACTCCAACTATACTCCAGGAGTGCGTTCATAAAAGAAAATGTCGTTGGTGTGGGTGCGAGCGTGTGTCTACGGAGTGTGTGCTATTATTTCACACAGAGTGTCGAGAGCGCGAAGTCTTTTATGAACGCATTTGTGAAATATTTATGATGTCATATGACAAACGTCAAATTTGTAAAAATTGTAAACATTTAAATTAATCTAATCTATAGTAGTTTATTCTTATTCAAATTGTTATTTTGAAATTAGTTTGTTCAGTTTTTGTAAAATTCTCACAATGGCCTTCTTCTGCCGTATTTTTCTTCCATCTGTGCAAAATTTATTTGAAATTCCCGTATCTATGTCCGACAGTCCGTTAACGTGTAAAGTTGCAATGTTTACCCCGGAGTTAGCTTAACCCGGGGGTGACTGGCTATTGAGAAACCGTTCCTTACTAGAGATTAACTACAAAATTATACATATAATGGTGGATTTATACAGCAAATAACATAACATAAGAATAAGATAAAAATAAGAATAACATTAAATAAGAAATAAGAATAAGAATGCATTTATACGAGAAATAAAATAAGAATAAGATTGGAAATCGTCCAATAATAACTTTCGGGAGACGCCTGCGCACCTCCAAGTTTTTGGAACTGTCAAGTGTGTCAACCATATGTTTTATAATTTTTCTAAAAAATAAAAGATTTGTTTATGTCTATGGTGTTCAAGTTTTGAGTTTTGTGGTTTAAATTTTGGATTTTGGAAAATGTTGGACGACATTGAGGCTGCGGTTTTACTCATGACTTTCATGACGATTGCAATCCAGTTGAATTTGCTGCGGAAAAAACGAAACAGGAGGTTTAAGGTTAGGCCAATGAACAGAAATAGGACCAATGTTTCTGTATATGACAAACTCTTGAAATTTGCTAAGCGAAATGACAGAGAACAATTCTTTAAGTATACCAGGATGTCCCCAGAACTGTTCGATAAGCTTCTTGACCTTATCAGACCATATATAACAAAAGATCCTTCAAAGTGCCCGATTTCAGCAGAACAAAGATTAGCTGTAACATTACAGTGAGTATAGACGATTCACTAATGTTTATATATGTTTTAAATAATAAACTGCATCTACTAAATCCCTAACAATATTTTTCTTTTTGCAGTTATTTATCTGAAGGGTGCTCAATGCAAGAAATTGCATGGAACAATTACATTGGCTTAACCACAGCTCATTGTATCATAAAAGAAACATGTAAAGTTCTCTGGGAGACGTTGCAACCTCTAGTACTCGAAACACCATCTAAAGAAAAGCTAAAAACTATTTCGAATGAATTTTATAAGAAATGGAATATGCCAAACTGCATCGGAGCACTAGATGGCAAACATGTGGAAATTCAGTGTCCAAAATATTCAGGATCAACATATTTTTCCTACAAGAAGTCATTTAGGTAAAATAAGAATCATTATAGTATAGTATGCTTAATAATTAATGTTGAAAATTATATCTTTAGCATAGTTTTGATGGCTACATGTGACGCCTATTACAAGTTCACATATGTGGACATTGGAAGTGCAGGGGCAAATCATGATTGTGCTGTATTCAAGGAGTCCAGCTATGGAAAATCTTTAATTGAAGGGACATTACAGTTACCAGAAGCAAAAATTTTGCCAGGAACTGACATCCAGTTTCCCCATTACTTTGTAGCTGATGCTGCATTTCCTCTGCATGAAAATATAATGCGGCCTTATGCAGGAAGCTACCTTGAAGATCACGAAAACATTTTTAATTTGAGGCTTTCAAGAGCAAGACGTTGCATTGAAAATGCATTTGGCATAATGGCCCAGAGATGGAGGAGGTTACGTAGTACTATTATAGCAAATGTGGAAACATGTGAGCTTATTGTACAAGCTATAGTAGTGCTTCATAATTTCATTCAAAAGGGTGAAGAAGACATACCCGAATCCCAAAGAAGGTACTGTCCTACAGGATTTGCAGACTCTGATGATATTAATGGAGAGCAAAAAGAAGGCGAATGGAGAAAACTGAAAAATAAACTTCGTTCAATTGGACGAACAGGACCAAACAATGCTGCAAAGAGGGTCCAGATGCTCCGAAATACCTTAGCTCAATATTTAATATCCCCATTAGGAGAAATAAAAAATCAATGGAACAGATTATATGCCGGATCTGTACCTGATAACTTCAATGTTAACTAATTATTTTGACAAAAATACATGAATGAAACTAAATTTGTTATTTTATTTATTTTTATTGAGGTACCATTGATGGTACTTGTAGTTTGACATTTTTTATTTTAAATTGAAAAAGTATCCAGCACAAAAAAAAAATATAGGTAGGTACTAAACAAATCTTTTTAATGTCTTTTTTCTAGGATTTCTGTTAGTAACATATAAGCATTCCTCTTAAAAAAAATTTTTTCTTCGCTTGTCAAGACACTCATGTCTTGGGCAAGACTTAGAGCAAACTCCCTGTCCGAGGATTTTTGCCCCAAATTTGCATTTAGTGTGTCAATGCAGGAAGACATTTTGTTACACAATTCATCTTGAACAGTTTCAGTTTTCCTTTTTTTCGCCTCAAGTTCGACGTGAGGACTGGCGCTGGCAGTTTTTTGGATCCTCGCCTGCTGGGGAGTTGGGGCCGCTAGGGATTCCTCCCTTGGGGATGGAAGAGGTGTCAAAAAATCGTCGGATTCACTATGTTCAGGCTCCTCTCTTGTTCCCTCTAAAACTTGAGTTAAAGTGTCCCAAGCAGAGGAAACTGGCTGCATTGAGGGCTTGAAGTTTGACACCGTTCATATTACCTTAAGCCTATTGACCTAATCAATTATTATGTACTTACCTCCTCGTTAGCAGGAAGGGATCCAAAAAACTAAGCATGTGATAATATGGCCAAAAACATGGAATATCGGCACTCCCAGACCCGGATGGCATCTCCCTAAGTTTCTTTCGAATGGTAGTATATTTGGCCCTCAAACTCGTCCATCTTTGTTCACAGCTAACAACTGGAAATATAAAGATAATATAGAGAACATAATGGTTGAAGAACAATAGAACAAACCATCGCTTTCCAAAATAGCCGCAATGGTCTTCCACGCATTTTCTTTTGCTAATTTGCTTTTGTATCTAGAATCTTTTTTATTGTATAGAGCAGGAAACTCTTTAACTTGCTTGATTAAATGTTCATCATCCATTTTGTTTAATTCGACTTCGACAACAAATGCAACAAACACACAGAACGATAACCAAAGAGCACGCACCGCACAGAAAACAAAACAGATGAGTCAACCGTCAACTCAATTCGAATCCAACCGTCAACCCGACTGTCACGTCAAATGTCCTACACATGCGCACTTGTATTTTCAAATAAAAATAAAATAAGAAGATGAAAGATAGTCATCTTTTATCTTATTCCTTATTTTTATTCTTATGTTATTTACCCTATAAATGTCCTATGGCAAATGTGTACATTCATCTTTTATGTTATTTTTATCTTATTCTTATCTTATGTTATTTGTCTGTATAAATCCACCATTATGCATATTATTTATTTATCTGATACTCGAACATGTTCCAAATAAGGTAAAGCTAATCAATTAATGTGCAATGCCTTTTTCTAAAATACATAAATAATTTATATATAATTATAATATACATGGCGAATAATTTCTAGTAAATAATTATCCATGATTTATTTAATTAGAAGTTTGAACAATACACTATACTATGTAGTAGGTAATAGGTATGCCTGATGGACAACTTCGAAGGTATTTAATCCAATATTTAATCACAGCCTATAATAATATCATACTTACTAAAACGATTTTGAACGAAAATATTGCCATCTTCAGATTGCAGCAATTCCCCATTATCTAGTTTCACCACAGTGTAATTATCACTATTTATATCGAAAGAATCGGAAGATTGAACACTGGCCATTTTTCTTTATTAATAAGTAAAGATTTACTTCCAACCGTGCTTCAAAAACTCTGCTTCAAAACAAATTTAACAAAACGAAAAATAATCTCGACGCCGACGGAAAACAACCTCACATTTTCATTTTTTTTTTTTTTGACAAAAATGACAATTGCACATGTCGAGTAACATTTCGCCGGGCATTCCAATGCGGCGAAATTCGAACAAGCGGGGCGCACTCCGGGTTTTAATTTAAAACATTTATGAACGGAATGAAAATGACAGAAAAAAAGGCTCGATTAATTTATGAACGATATTCGAGCGATTAATCACACAGAGCGTCTTTTGTGTGTATTTTATGAACGCACTCCTGCTCTGCTCGGCCATCCCGAACCCAGCTTAAAACGAACTCAACCCTTGTCTTGACAGAGCGGTGTTGTCGGTTTGAGTAGTTTTCATTAGAAGTTTTGTGATGGTGTTTCTTGTGGATTTTTGTATGTCTTCTTTTAGGTAGATCCGCACCCTGAGGAAATTGTTCGGTACAATTTGTTATTGGGGGTCGGATTCTTCGGGTTTTCTTGCTGCAAAGATATGTTTGGTCTTTGGATATTTGGGGTTTTTGAGTGTGACGTCACTGGTGGTCCTTGTGGATTTGGTTGATGGGAAAACTGGTTGACATGGCAACGCGGTATTGTTCCTTCTCTTTCGTGCTGCGTTCTGTCAAACTGAGCAAGCCATTTCATTTTCCGCATTCTTCCTGGTGAATTTTTGGAATCAACAACCTCCATTTTTCTCTGTGTTCACGGTTTTGAATTTAAAAATTGGTCTAGTGGCACATGCTGAATTTAGTTAATATTCGGCCCCGATTGTGAGGATTTTTGCTACGAACCATATTGTGGACGTTTGGCCGTTGGATTGTGTCCCTGAGCGACGATGATTCTGGATTTTTGATGCCGGCCGGTTAGACGCCATTTTTGGGATTATAAATTAAAGACAAACCGTGACACAAAACTACTCGATAACCCCACACTACATCTAAAGCTGGATTTATACAGCAAATAAAATAAAATAAAATAACAAATAAGAAATAACAAATAGAAAATGCGATGGCGTTTATAGAGACAAATAAAATAAAATAAGAAATAATTTTCGACCAATGGAAATATATGTTTTGCACATGCCCCTGTCCAACCAGATTTCAAATTCAAATTTGATGTCGTTAACGTTAAGTGAGGTTAAGTTTTTGTTATTTGATTTTTAAATTTTTGGAAAGCGGGAAGCCGGTTTTTCAAGTTTATTGTTCTTTTTTTGTGTTTTGTGGAGTGCAAACGCCAAACATGGATGATGGATTATTAATTGAGCAAGTTGCAGGGTTTCCTGCTCTATTCAATAAAAACGATTGCCGCTTTAAAAATAAAACGGCCAGAGAGCAGGCATGGCAAACCATTGCCGAAATTATGGGTTGTTCTGGTAAAGTTTTAGTGAAGTTTTGAAAAGTACAAGCAATTCATTTTTTTTATTTTAGTTGAAGACTGCAGCAATAGGTGGGTTGTTTTAAGGGCGAAATATACCACTCTCAAAAAACAAATCAGAGAAACCCCGTCTGGATCCGCGGGGTTCTCAATTTCCTGGCCACATTATGAGGCAATGGGGTTCTTGGACCCATTTTTGGTGACGAGAAGGTAGAGTTTTCTCAGATTATAGTTGATTTTGAAGTTATCTTTATTTAAAAAAAAAAGGTGTTGGTTTGATCAAATCAATTTAAGTGGGCTTGAAAAAAGGGAACATTTTAGAAATGCTCTATTTCTTTTAGGACTATATCAAACATTAAATTGAAATACCAGAACATCTCTAATCTAGAGTCTTCGGAGCAAGGGCAAAGACCATCTTCAATTTGGGACACAATGTCCCAACTTGAATTTTCAGATGTTTCTGTGGGTGCTCCGGAGACTGAAGATTCTGTGACTGAAGTCACTGATGAGACAGACTTCTCACCCCCGCCAACTCCAGATCCTATTTCAAAGAGTGGAACTCCTACCACATCACATTCTCAACTATCGACTACTTCGACTTCATTCAGCTCATTCAATCAAAAAATGGCAGCACTTAGGAGGCAGAATACAAAAGGCAGGGGTGGTGCAATGGGTGGTACCAAGCGGAATGCGCAAGAAGCGATGTGCCACAGCATCACTTCAGCCATAGGTGACTTCCAGAAGAGACATCAGGCTTATAGTGAAGGAATCGAGAATATGGCCCCTTCAAGCTGGGCCAAAAGTCTTGCAGAAGACATGCTGGTTTTGTCGCCAAGCCAAAGGATCATTTTCAAAAAAAAATGTTACGACATTTTGGCAGAAATGGTACAAAACACACAGGAATGAAAGACTTTTGGCCCTGCTTGAAATGCCTTCAAAATATTAGGTAGTTTTAGTTTAGTTCTATTATTTATTATTTGAGAATGTTGTATTTGATTTATTGAAATTTTAGGAATGTTTTTTTTTTTGAGATACATTTAAAATTTAAGTTATTTAAAAATGTTACATTTAATTATGTTATGTCATGTAAAATAGGTAGTTATTTATTCAATAAACAATTTTTTTTTTCTTTGATACCAAACTGTTTTCAAATTTCGTTTGCATTTTTGTAGGAACATGTTTCTGCAAAGCTAAGTACACCATTTTGAGTTTTTTGATAGTATTTTATTTCACGCACAAAATATACAAACTAAAATAACCTAGTTCTCCTAAATAGACCTATAATAAACCACCTAGGCCACATACAATAGTTATTTGTGTAACCAGTTGGGAAAAGCACTACTGGATTTTTGCAGAACAAGCGAAGCGAGTTTCGCAAAAGGAAGCGTTACGAAAAATAGTGTTTTATACAATATTTTTTCTGATTTTGATTTTTTTAAGGAGCATCTCCAAACTATGGTTACAAACATTATGAATGATTTGTAGTAGGAACTTGTATCAAAAATTAATATAGCTATTTATTATTTATGTAACAAGTTGTAAAATGAGCGTGTTTTTTTTTGCACTAAATGTGAGGATTGTGTGCAAAAAACCAGCCATTTTGCGACGTGTTTCATACAAGATTTTTTGTGATTCATTCAAAATATTTAAAATTCAGAATATAAACGCATTTTAATACTGACACGGAACACTCTAAATCCCATTTTAACACTCAGTGATGAGATGAGATCTCATTTCAACACTGTTGTATTAGATCACACTGCTTATTTTGGCGTTTATGTTGAAATGAACCACTTTTGACAACTAAAATAAATGTCAAAAAGATGCCATTTCGTAACTGAATTACAAAATAGGGCCGGGTTCAGAAATAACGCACAGGGTGCGAGTGCGATTTTATGGGTGTGCCTGAATTGACAATTGGCCATTGGGCCTTATAGCACCGTTCAGCATTTTTGAACAGCTAGGGCGTCGCACCGGTGTCACACTCACACTGGGTGTGTCATTCCTGAACTCGCCCCAGCTAAATTCTATATTTTTTTTAAAGGTAAAAGTCAAAATGACATTAAAGTGCGTTTTTTTTTTAAGATAAAAGTCAAACTGACATTAGGTTGGCAATACAATGTAAAATTGTCAATGCTATCAAATTTTTTATGTAGTAAAGGCTTGTGTTGCCAACATAGTTACTAAATTTTTGACTTGGGGAATTATCTTAAAAAAAAAAAACAGACAATATTAGTTGTGTTATTGGGTACATTCAGGCATTGCCAGCGGCTAAGCTCAGCCACTCAGCAGGGACTTTATTCTCGAAGCAGGGGAGCAGCATTCTCATGAGAACGAAGGTTCTGTCTTCGTCGTCTGTATTCATATTTCCATAACACTGACAATGACAGAGCAAGCTGTTCCTCGGTTTCGAGAATAAAGTCCCTGCTGAGTGGCTGAGCTTAGCCGGTGGCACCGCCTGAATGTATCCACAGATTCATAACACCTCTAGTTGTGTAATGAGTCTCATAACATAAAGCATATACTAGAAAAATGGCTTTGTAAAAACGTAATAACTAAACGATTGTAGATATAGACCTTAAAATAGGGACTGTTTTTTTGCCATTTTGAGAGCTGAATGTGGCTAATTAGCTCATGAGAATATGAGTGATTTCAATGCCACAGATGCTTTTCAATAGCTGAAAATGTGGGATGGGAGTCAACTTGCAAGAGAAAAGTATACAACTTTCCGCATTTATTTTCTGTCTAGCAATCAAGAGAATAAAAGGTTTTGTTATGAGAATGAAATGTTTCGTTGTGAAAATAATGCTGAAAAATCGCCAGACAGTTATCACAGTTTGAAATTGAGAAGAAATTTGGAACAGAGAGCAGGCATTAAAACCACTTATATTCTCATCAGCTAACTATCCACATTCCACAATCAGCCCTCAAAATGCCAGACAAAAAAAAATGACTCCACTAAACACTCCCTATCTGCAGGTCTGATAAAGCAAATAATACTGAAAGTCAAATTGCTAGTGTGTTAATTAATTTGCATTTTCCCTAAAGTAATCTGGTACGCCATATTGGTATAATTGATCCAGCTGGTACTGAAGGGCTCCCAAGGGTGATATCAGCCAGTCAGCTAGATAGTCTCTTAGCACACGTACTTTTCTGGAGAAATTGTTTGCCCCCAATCGACCAATACTTTTCAAATCAGCTCCCGAATCCAGCCGCCATTTTCCAGGTTGAACATTTCCCTTTTCATCCTCCCAATCAACAAAGCCAGTTGGGCTATACCTCCTTTCTTGAGGGTCCAGGTCTTCCTCCCCCTTTTGTAAAAAATTATGTAGAACTACGGTTGCCATAATAATGAGTTCACAAGTTTCCTCATTTCCTATTATAGGGTTCCGTAGTCTCCTCCATCGCTGAGCTAAAATGCCAAAAGTATTTTCAATGATTCTCCTAGCCCTTGACAACCTCATGTTGAAAATATTTTTTTTTTCATCCAAAAAATTCCCAGGATATGGCCTCATTATATTTGAATGCAAAGGAAATGCTGCATCTGCAGCAAAAAAGAAGGGAAAAGGGATGTCAGTTCCAGGTAGAGCTTCAGGCTCAAGAAGAGAGATTAAAGCTTTTCCATAACTTGATTCCCTGAAAACTGCCGAATCATGACTTGAACCAGGTGCTCCAATGTCCACATAAGTAAATTTATAGTATCCATCACATGCGGCCATAAGAATCATGCTAAAACAAAAACAAGTTTTTTTTTGTAAAAAATTATCCTAAAAATTATAAATGATGCATAAATACAAAAAACAAAATTCTGATCTACCTGAATGATTTTTTATAGGAAAAATAGGAGGTTCCAGAATGATTTGGACATTGAACCAACACATGCTTCCCATCTACTGCTCCTATACAATTTGGAAGATTCCATCTCAGAAGATTTTCTCTTGCAATTTTTTTTAGCTGCATCGGTGTTGGTTCAGGAAGTACCAAAGGTTTCAAAACTTCCCACAATACTTTACAAGTATGTTTGATGATACAGTGGGCTGTAGTCTTGCCTATGTAGTTGTTCCAAGCAATTTCTTGCATAGAGCAACCTTCAGCTAAGTAACTTAAAACAAAACAAGAATGAAAGAAGGACCACTTGATTAATATCCAAAACTACTTACTGCAATGTAATAGCAAGCCGTTGCTTAGGCGATATAGGGTTTTTTGTCTTGTCCTTTTGTAGGTATGGCTCAACAAGGCTCAGGAGATAATTGAATAAAGCAGGAGTCATCCTTGTGTATTTGAAAAACTGTTCAATATCATTTGTTTCAGCATATTTTAACAGCCTCTCAAAAACACTATGAGCTGCTCTTTGACGATTTAATGGTCTTATTTTAAATCTCCTTCGTTTCCTAACTCCTGTTAGGCAAATAGCAGTCGCTGCCGCAGCCAACAGAATCAAAAACTCCAGCTCAAATGCTTCAGATTCGTAATCAGAATTCATCTACAACAAAAAAATGGTAGGTAAAACGTTTCCCCCATATTTGGAATCAAGTATAAATAAGCCAGACTCAATTTAACTATATTATTACCACTTACCTTTATTAAAAACACTCCAGAATATAAAAAAAATGAATTTTCCTCAGAATTTTCAAAATTTTCAACACATAAACAACCAACCGAAAGTGAGGTTACGTTCACGAGATACATATGGTATTCGTATTTTACGAAAACAGATGACGAAAAATCAATAAATAGACGCATGCGCACATCCATTTTCACATAAAATAAGATATAAAGTTAAAAGTTGGGCAACTTTTATTTTATTTTATTTCTTATGTTATTTGTTATTTTTTGTATAAACACTTTAAGGGTATCTCATGCGGTTAACTGTTATGTCTTATTTGTTATTTTATCTTATCTTATTTTATTTGCTGTATAAATCCAGCTTAAGGTATGTTATTTAATGATTATTATATAAATTTCTTGGGTATATAGTTCTCTTTTTATGGTTCGCAACCGGTTCTGATGCGCTCCTTCTGTTTTAGGGGTTTTTTTTTTGCTTTTGTCCGAGGGTTTATTTAACTGGTGCGATTCCTGCTGTGGAGGCTATTCCTTGCCTTAATCTACCCTGTTATCTTTGGGCTTTCTTCACCGTACTACCTACTGGAGGCTTAGAGGCTCGGAGCGATTGCTGTCCTGGTATTAACAAGTTGGTGCAGTACCAGTGTCGAGAACAATTAACCCAGTAAACACAGTTACATTAATTTAAGGTTAAAATTTACATAACCACTTTACATTATTATATAATTTTCAAGTATTTTTTAGGTCAAAATAAGGTAAAATTTAACTTAAATGTAATGCATAATGTCATGCTCAAGTAGATGTTAAATTTATGTCAGATTTATGGAAACCATATTATGTAACAAAGCTTATGTAAATTTTACAAATAATTTTACATAAATATTACCAGTATTCACATAAGATTCACGTGAATATTATATGAAAAGTTACATAATTGTAACATAATATAATAATTGATATTTGATCATTTTTTACATAAAATTCACATTATGTTAAATTTATCTACATAAATTTAACATAAATTTCACATAGTTTAATTACCTTCCCCAAGGTTTCCTATAATCGATTTTACTTTACAATAATTATGTTAATGTGATTTTAATATATTAACATAAAATTTCCTTGTGAATCACAACAAAAAAGTGATAGATAAATTTCTTGTTAAATTTTTAGATGTTAAAAATCAAAAATTTCAAGTCTAAAGGATTAAGTTTAAAGGTAGTCAAATTTAAGAACTACCAGTTTTTTGTTCTATCCACGTGGACTCAAAGCAGAATCAACAGCCATGGCACACTGACAAAGAAAAAAATATAAGTACTCAACTCACTTTCAAGGAAAAGGAAGGTTAAAGAAAAAGACTAATGCAAGAATAGTTTTGAATAATATGTATTTATAAAATGGAAAACAACATTCTGATGCATTACTAATAGTAATAACTCTTTCTTTCTCAAGAATAGACTATAAAAAAACTTAAAATGTTATAATCTAACTCTTAAAACTAAAATAAAAAAAAAACAAATCATTCATTCCAAGAAATGATGAAAACAACTTATTACTAAAGGAAAAAGGTTTAAATTTTCATTTTAGAATTCAATCTTTTGAATTTTTTTCTACCCTCTTTTTTCTTTGATTGGACAACCGGAACCATTCTCCCACACTTTTTTCTACTTCGTGTAGGGTAGCCGAGTGCTGTACCATAATAATATCTGAAATCAAATTTTTGATGCATGGTAAGTAGGTACTTTTAGAAACTTACACGTAGTAGCAGCTTCACAGATGTGTGTCCTACAATCTTTTATTTCATCCTGTTTCAAATAAATATTACTTTTTCAAATTTATTAAATAAGAGGCCAATCATTTTGTTACTTTAAATAATATGAGCACCTGAAGAATAAATTGTGCATTTCATTTTCGAAAATCCATAGAGTTTTTTTTGCAGCAGTCCAAGAAGTGAAAATTTTCTGGCCTAGTGTGTTACATTTCTACTCCCTGATGGACTCAGTACTCGAATAAGGTAATTTCCAGACTTACACGAGTCCACCTAATAGTTCAAATACAGTGTCAGACAGACCATATTTTTATGCTGACATAAAATCCTTCTTTAGTTTTTTTTTTCAGTATTCACTTACCTACGAAAATTCGCATAAAATTAAACTTTTGCAGTTTATAATTTCCTCTCAATCCGATATAAGAGCATTCTTTACCCAGGTCATTGGTGAATATTTTTGGCAAGGACCTATTCACATGGTCTTTGAAATCTCGCCCTCCAATGCGCTTGATAAACTGTACCTGAAGTTGAGAATAATTGGAAAATAATAAATTTTTAATTAATACAATTATGTTTTTTCTAACAAAAACAAAAAATCTAAACAGTTCAACAACAATCAATTTTTATGAGAAAAGAAAAGTAATTTTAAAAATGATTCTCTAAAAAAATTGCATAGACTGATTTGCGATTTTTATTTTTTTTTTCAATTAAAATATGATTTTATACTTACATAGGTATTTTTAAAGTCTTCATTTTCCATCATTTCATCAAATTCCGGTACGTTTTCCGTAGACGTCAATGGTAAATTTTTGTTTAAATTTTCCATCACTTTGTCCGCCACTACCCTGCCTTCTTCAGCATTTATTGTTTTTAATCTATTATCAATGCTGATAATATATTTTTGCATGTTTGCAACAGTGAGGCTTAGTTTTTCTGAAATTTTAAATAATGAACTGAAATGCAACAATCAGTTAGGGTACATACTACATACCAACAGCAACTAGCAATTCGTCAAGTTGTTTTGTATTCCCTAAAAAAAAGTAATGTAATAATTGATTACCAAAAATGACAAATCAAATTTACCACTACATGTTGAATTTTCCATTTTTTTTTTTCCTGGCCAGGTGGGTTGGGAAGTTTGATTGTTTCCTGAATTTCTTGTTCAGCAGGGATTTCCGTTTGCTCACCAAGGGCCATCACCTTTTTGAGCTGATTAGTGGATGTTAATTTCTTTTTTTTCAATTTTTTTGGTGAAGGGGGTGGAGTAATTGTCTCAGAACAGCTGCTGCTGTTGCTGCTTATTGTCCGAGGTTTCCTAGTTCTTATCTTAGGCACCAGTTCTTCTCCGCCTGTCATATACGACGGATTTTCTGCCTTTCTACGGGCACTTTCTAAAGTGGCTAAAAGATTTTATATATATAGTTATTTATCTTTTGATACAAATGCAAGTTTACCTTACATCACATAAGTCTGGCAAAATCAAATAAAGGGGATCCACAATCAATTCTAAGACCCAAACGTGATATAAGATGCCGCTTCATTCTCAAAAAAGCGAAACGTGTGTATGTATTTATAGTTTTAATTTTTGTATTACTTTACTGAAAAATGATTTTAGGTGTCCTTTGAGATCTATAACACATTTTAGTCTTGAAATGACGTGAGCAATGAGCATTTTGTTCTTTCATTTCATCAGAAAAAATATAAAATACCCAATATATGTTAATACTTACAGGCATAAACTTCAAATTTAATTCTGTGACGAGCCCAGGTGGATTCATCTGGAGGTTCATCTCTGGTCATGAATGATTTGCAGTTTATTGAATTTGGCCACCAGCAGTACTCCTTGTCTGGAGTGAGCCAGGACGTTGGAATTTCTGAATAAATATTCTCTGCAGGAAAATATATCACAGCGTATTTTTTTGCCATTTTAATCTAACTTAATGTGACTAAAAATAAAAATAATAATAAATAATTATAATAATAAAAACTAAGTTGGAACGATGGGCGATCAACTTAATTTACTACAACAAAAAAGAAGTTGTAGGTATCTAATTTTAAAAGATATTCGGATTCTGTATAAATTCCAATACAATACCAATAGAACCAAATGGATTTGCAAACTTGAAAAAGTATCATTACTGCTAGGAGCCAATGTTTGTTGTTGAAAATCTACCAAAAATGTTTCCTTATATTTTGACCCCTACTTACAGCTTTAGCTATACGAGGTGGAATTTATTTTTTTTTGACTAGAATGATAGCTTTGTTTCTGATTCCAAATACAATATACCATACTATGTTGATATTTGGTTCAGTTGTTATTGCGCTATTTAATTTTAAAATTGCATTGAGCAAGCCTCATCATTGGTATAAGAAACCCGGACAGATTAAATAAAGGGTAAACTTGAATAGCATAAAAACAGCTGAATCAAATAGCAATATATATGGTATATTTGGAATCAGAAGAAAAGAATCTATCATTCTAGCCAAAAATATACAAGGTGTTCCATTTGAAAAATGCAAGGGTTTGTCATTATGACAGTTGGCACCTGTCACTTGCCCATTTTGGCATTCGCAAAAGATAATAGACATAAAACCCTACAACTTTCATATTTAAAGTTTTTTTCCACCTCATATAGCTAAAGCTGTAGGTAAGGGTCAAAATATAAGGTAACACCCTGTACAGGGCAACAAGTACTAAAAGGGGTTAATTTTTGACTTCCCTTGTATTTTTAAAAAAAGTTAGAATTAGCCACTCGATGTATTTTATAGAATTTGAATTGTTGGAAAAAAAAAACATTTGACCAGAAAGAAGGTTGATGAATACCATTAAATATGAAAAATCTTAGGAAATATTTTTTTCTCTGCTGGTATTTTATTCGATAAAGCATGTGATTTGATCGGCTATTGTAGATTTTTTTGAAAAATACAAGGAAGGTCAAAAACAAGCTCCTGCTCAGTCCTTATTGGAAGACCCCTTGGAAGACCCTGTACCTACACAGAATTGAATTACTTCTAAAAAAAAAAACAATTTAGGCATGTTCTGTGATTCCAATGATTGACCTTAGAAAACATTGGATGGTATGTATTGTAGTGCACACAGGTGTTACAAATTTGAGTGTGTGCATGGGGATATTGGAAACCATAAGAGATGCGAGGTCTATTCAATTGAGGCAAAGTTGCGCATCTTGATGCTTAACAAAATACCGTTTTAAAAATTTAAAAACTCTGGATAGTTCTGGAACTATTCGGAATAAACCAAAATTTTACAAAAGCGTTTTTATTTTTTTCTGAGCCTATTTCAAGAGATATCCCAAAATAAATGTCGCTTCATCATTGCCACTTTTTCTCCTCTACAAATGCTAATATAACCATCAAATTTGAAATATGGCATTTCGTCTTTGGGCCATCATCACAAACTTTATTCTGGTGTCCCAAAACCCATGATGTAACATATTTAGTTCTTATGGAACGTGACAATAATTGACAATAATATAAATTATTCCAATAAGTGCAATACGCGGTGCAATACATCATTGGTTTTGGGACATCAGAAGCTTATAAAATCTAAAATTAAAAGTCCGTATTTAAAAAAATGAAGTTGATGATGGTGGCCCAAAACGAAACGTCAGATTTCAAATTTGATGGTAGCATCTTGTAGAAAAGAAAAAGTGGCAACGATGAAGTGATATTTATTTTGGGATATCCGAAAGGATATCTCTTCAAAAGGGCTCAAAAAAAAAATAAGAATAAAAACGCTTTTGTGAAATTTTGGTTTATTCCAAATATTTCTAGTACTATTCAAAATTTTTAAATTTTCAAAACGATATTTTGTTAGGATGAAATTGTGCAACTTTGCCTCAATTTATTCAACCTCATATATCTCTTATGGTTTCCGAGATCCCCATGCACACACTCAAATTTGTAACACCCTGATATAGTATAAATTTTTATATTATAAATGATGAAGAAGAGGTATAACTACTATATCACATCCGTCAACTAACTTCAAACACTTATTAGAAATTTCATGAACGCTGAAGGAAATTAATTTGTTGGACAATTGACTATTATTCACCTGAAATATTCCGAGTATGGTTGAATCACAAGGAGCACTAAAAAAGGGTTTGGAACTTGTATAAAACTTACCAAAACACATCAGATCGTCTCCTATTTTTGAAAAAGAATCAATTAGACATATTTTTTTATTTTTTAAAATGCAGCAATTTTCGTTAAACTTAAGGGAAAATGTAGTGAAGCTTACTTGAACCCTAACAATTTTATTTTTCTTTAAAAAAACTTTTGGATATTTTCTTATCTCTATTGGTTCATCTACTGACAGTTCTTCAGAAATTCGATTATATAATTGTTGTAGTGGATACCTAGAATTTTTTAACATATTTTTAAATTGTGTAAATTTATTCTCAAATTTGAAGGAACTAAATTTGTCTAAACACCCATGATTACTTGCGTCATCAGCAATATGAATTAGATTGTGAACATTATGTGTGTACTGGCCATAGCCAAAAAAATATCCAAATTTTTTCACATAATAAGTCATTAATTCCTTTGCATATTCTATATTTTCTGCTGATATATCATTGTTAGACAAAAGCTTCACAGCCACTACTAAACACAAAAAATGGGAATAAGCTTTTCTACCTAAAATGTTTTTTAGAACCACAGGACCAACATATAATAAAAATAACCTAAACTCTGTAGCTTTCCACATGGCCAAAGATGTAAAACTGCGAGGCTTTCTGGCAAAATCTGATGTTATATATCCTTTTGTTGATACATAGGATTCCTCTAGCTGTGCAATTTGTGTTTTTGTTAACCGTACTTCTTTATTACCAAGAAGCCATAGAGATAAAATTCTTTTTGTGACACCCAATAATATCAAATGCATATAATCCAGAGGAAACTGGGTTATCATATCTATATTTAAATTCTCAAAAGCTGATGGCCCATGATGGTGTTCAGACTGCAATTTATTCCTAAATGATTCATTTGTTCTAAGAGCTGCCTTCACATTAACAAATACAACTTTGTTTTCAAACATGTTACCCTCACTTACACACTTTGTACAGGAAAAGTAGCCAGTGTGACCCAATATATTGAGAACAAGCTTTCGCCGGAGCATCGCAAATCACACAATTTAGTTTTACTTGAAAAGTTGAGCCATTAATTGAAATTCCATGATGTTCCAACTCCCTATATTCCTCTAAAAAAAACTTCAAAAACTCACTTGAATCTTTTGGTTTGCTAAAACCATGGAAAACTCCAATGGTAAATGGTTCAGTGTTAACATTTTGAATTAAAATATCCCCCAATATTGGCCAACATTGACTTCGTGAAGACTTAGCTATTGGGAGCCCATCAATATTAATATTAAAGTTTAAAATTTTATTGATAAAATATTTGTACTTCCTTACAAGTCTCACTAGATTTTCTTTCAGCCCAAAATGTATATATTTTCCGCTTTCTAACTCGTAAATTTTATGTTTTCCTGACCTAGGTGTACTCATAAAAGTTCGAGCATCACTTGGGAGATTATTATGACCATGCCTACGTAGAGTCGAAAGAATGTCACTAATTAGACTTTGAGAAGCCCTATGTTTAACAAAAACCCCTCGTAGATCTTCAGAAAAAGATTTGAAAGCATCAGCTTCTCTAGAACATGACTGAGACTGACGTAAATTTAATTCTTGGGGCACATCATGGCTAAATGAGTTTATAGGTGCTACATTGTAGTCGCAGTTGGACAGGGGTGAATTTTGTATTTCTGAATTAATTTCAATTTCATGTTCAGCCTCACTTTCATTCTCAGTTTCATTACATACAGGACTCGATACAGGACTTACAGGAGTAGGACTAACATTTTCATTAAAATTAAGTGTGAGATCAAGGTTAGGTGCATTTGAATGATAAACATCCAAGTTTGATGAATTTCTCGAGGAATTTCCTATCTCTATTCTAGGTACTTTCATTTTTCTCTCACATTCTCTTTTAAGTATTCTTTTTCTCTGTCTCTCACACAAATTGACAAAATCCCTTGGCATGCTAGAACTGACAATTTAGGTTAGGTAGAATTTGGAGGTAGAAAAATGAAAAATATTCAGTTTTAATCTTTATACACTTACCACAATAGTTTTTTTGTCTGCGTAAGTCGGTTTCCTGTCCTTGGTAACTCTATACCTATTCACTATTTCCAAACGACGAACAACGAACCTTCTTAGAAACCACCCAAAATGCAATGGCAAAGCTCATAATAATATAGAACAAAGCCTGCAGTGGTAAAGACAAAAAAAAACTTGTCTAGAGCACTACGCTATCAGATACTACACTTCAATTTTCTTCATTTCACGATTAAACAATTTACACGTGTGCGGTACGGGCGGGAAAAAGGATCTACTTTAGGGGGCACCTAGTCTGGCTGGCGTCAGTCAGGGACAGGGCGGGGGCGAAGAACAATCAATCGTAACGAATTCTTTTGGAAGGGTTAGGGCGCAGCAGAGTGTCTTCGTACTATTCGTGTCTTTTTCTACCAGCTCGTATAAGAAAAAGATAAAAAACATTTTTTCTGCATTGCTACAATGCAATTCGCTATCAGTCAATCAGCAGATGAAGCCAACGGTCACCGGCGATGCAACTAGTGATGGTACGCTGTGTTGCCAGGTGAAATAAATATTTTAAAAAAATGCCCGGCCGGCACCCGCTCCAAGTCCAGATATATAATTTTTTTCAACAAAATTGGGCGTGTAGTTTTTTTTTGCGTGAACATTGGCAATATCGGCGGATATTGCTATAAATAATTGGTGAAAAAACAATAAGTTTTTGGTTTTTGGTATTATGGTAGATTTCAATTAAAGAGGATTTCAATCTTTATATTTCGATAGGAAAACCGAGAAATCGACAACTTCGGCAAC